GAGAGAGACCAGAGAGAGAGAGACGAGAGAGAGACGAGAGAGAGAGACCAGAGAGAGAGAGACCAGAGAGAGAGACCAAAGAGACAAGAGAAAGAAGAGAGACGAGAGAGAGACTAGAGAAAGAAGAGAGACCAGAGAGAGACCAAAGAGACAAAAGAAAGAAGAGAGACGAGAGAGAGACTAGAGAAAGAAGAGAGACCAGAGAGAGACCAAAGAGACAAAAGAAAGAAGAGAGACGAGAGAGAGACCAGAGAGAGAGACCAGAGAGAGAGAGACCAGAGAGACAGAGACCAGAGAGACTAGAGAAAGAAGAGAGACCAGAGAGAGACTAGAGAAAGAAGAGAGACCAGAGAGAGACCAAAGAGACAAAAGAAAGGAGACGAGAGAGAGACTAGAGAAAGAAGAGAGACCAGAGAGAGACCAAAGAGACTAGAGAAAGAAGAGAGACCAGAGAGACTAGAGAAAGAAGAGAGACCAGAGAGAGACCAAAGAGATTAGAAAAAGAAGAGAGACCAGAGAGAGAGAGACCAGAGAGACTAGAGAGAGAGAGACTAGTAGAGAGATAAATGGAGAGACCATGTGTTTTTGACTCCCTCTCTCTCTCTCCTGTCAGATAAAGCCGGACCTCTCTCTCTCAGCCCAAAGAGTCTATTAGTGCCTCTCAGGGCTCTTCTCTGAGATCACATGTTTTCTCAGATGAAGTCAGGTACCTCAGCTTTAAAGAGGTCTCAGTGAAGCAGAGTTTGGAAAAGAGCCACAAAGATCAATAAAGATTGAATTAGAGGTTTGTGTTGTTTCCAGCGTTAGCAACACAGCTAGTTAGCGAGTATGCTAGGTCTGATGGAAGCTAATCAAAGCTAATCAAGGCTAATCAAGGCTAAAGGCTCAATCTAAAAGGAAACAGGACGATTACAGAAATATAAGTTTTGAGAAATAATGCAAATAATTTCACCTCAAAAACAGGAATTTTCTAAATGTTTGTTCAAAGACTTTGGAACAATAAAAACAAGTTTCTGCTCAGTTCAGTTCTGTCTGAATGTAGAGAAAATCCTGAATTTAAAACACATTTTATTCCATATTTTCCGACAATTCTGTTTGAAATGTTTCTTAAAGCTGCACTAACTGACTTTTAAACTGACCCTGATAATGAATATGAAATAAAGTCAGTTACTGCAGCTTTAAGGAATGGCCAGAATTTTTCCCACATTTTTATCTGATTTTTGTTACAATTTTCCCTGAATTTTGTCTATTCCACATTTTCTCATAAACTTTTACCATTTTTTCTTCTTCATAATATTAAAAACTTTTAGCTGAATTTTTACACAATTTTCCTGGAATCTTGCTTCATTTGTTCCATCTTTTTAAAAACAAATTTGGTCATTTTTTTATCTGAAATTTTCTCAAATATTCCCGTTTTTTTTTTTTTTTTTTTTACCAAAAATGTGTGAATTTGACCATTTTGAAACTCACTTCAGATGAATGAGACCAGGACCTACACTTGGATCTAGAACTGGACCTGGATCTAGATCTGGACCTGGACCAGAACCAGGACCAGGGCCTATAGTCTCAGTCTTTGTGGCTCTTCTCTCCTAACCCTCGTGGCTCGTGCTGGTCTCGTCTCAGTTTTAGGTCCAGTTCTGTCTCAGTTATTTCTACTTTACATAATTCTAGAACAAAAATAAAATCAAGATTATTCAAGTTGTTGATTTTTTTCAGATTAGTTACATTTCAGGCACTTTTAAAAAAATACTTTACATTTCGTGCCGTGTGCAAAAACACAGGTTAATACCAACATGCGGCGGAACCTTCCGGATCAAACCAGTACGACTTTTATTTAGGGTTTTAAATCTAAAAGTAAAATAATAATGTTCAAGAGGTTAAATCAGATGGAACCAGAAACAGACCAGAGTGAGACCAGAGTGAGACCAGAGGGAGACCAGAGAGAGACCAGAGAGAGACCAGAGAGAGACCAGAGTGAGACCAGAGTGAGACCAGAGTGAGACCAGAGTGAGACCAGAAACAGACCAGAGTGAGACCAGAGTGAGACCAGAGTGAGACCAGAGAAAGACCAGAGGAACCAGAAACAGATCAGAGAGAGACCAGAGGGACCAGAGTGAGACCAGAGTGAGATCAGAGGGACCAGAGTGAGACCAGAGTGAGACCAGAGGGACCAGAGTGAGACCAGAGTGAGACCAGAGGGAGACCAGAGTGACACCAGAGAGAGACCAGAGTGAGACCAGAGTGACACCGGAGAGAGACCAGAGTGACACCGGAGTGAGAGACCAGAGAGAGAGTAGAGTACTTTAGAAAACCCCAAACTCGTTCCTTTGGTGTTTTTGGCTTCCACATTCTCTGCTTCTCTTTCCATCGACAAAACCATCGATTACAAAAGTTAAAAATCCGCTAAATGGAAACAATACATGGACAAAAAAAAAGACAAAAATCCCTAAAACTGAAAATAATTACAACAAAATGGACGACAAGCACCAGTGGAGTTCAGTGTCGTGGTCAGAGCCACGGAGACAACTTTAAATATTTACTTTAAGATCTGTGCAAATGTAGAGAGAGATGGTTCAGACGAGACGCCAGCTGCAGGGGGCGGGGCCAGGGACTACAGGGGGCGGAGACTACAGAGGGAAAGGTCTGAGTGTTGTTTGGACCCGGGTGGATGTGTTGAAGGTGAGGAAACAGAGAGCGAGACAATAGAGGGAGAGAGAGCACAGAGAAAGACCAGAGAGAGAGACCACAGAGAGAGAGTCCAGAGACAGGAGAGAGACCACAGAGAGACCAGAGAGAGAGTCCAGAGACAGGAGAGAGACCACAGAGAGACCAGAGAGAGAGTCCAGAGAGAGGAGAGAGACCACAGAGAGACCAGAGAGAGAGTCCAAAGAGAGGAGAGAGACCACAGAGAGTCCAGAGAGAGGAGAGAGACCAGAGAGAGAGTCCAGAGAGAGAGACCAGAGAGACCAGAGAGAGACCAGAGAGAGAGTCCAAAGAGAGGAGAGAGACCAGAGAGAGAGTCCAGAGAGAGAGACCACAGAGACCAGAGAGAGAGTCCAGAGAGAGAGAGAGCAGAGAGATAAGAAAAAAGACCAGAGGGAGAGACCAGAAAGAGTCAACTAACTCGACATGGTATATTAGAATAAAGCTGGTTATTGTTGCTGTAAAATAAAAATAAAACGGAATGTGTTGCAAATAAAAATCTGAGGTAGTGAGATGTGGAGAAAAAGAGGCCTCACTTCAGAGGGAGAGAAACCCTACTGTTCAGGAGGGAGAGAAACCCTACTGTTCAGAGGGAGAGAAACCCTACTGTTCAATCAATGGCAATTTCTCACTTTAGAAACAGCACAAACTCCATTAAACAGGATTATGTATCTGTAACCCAACGATGAGAGCCTCATTCTGCACCAGAGAGAGCAGAGAGAGAGAGCAGAGAGAGAGAGAGAGAGACCAGAGAAAGAGAGAGCAGAAAGAGACAGAGAGAGAGAGCAGAGAAACCAGAGAGAAAGAGAGCAGAAAGAGAGAGGCAAGAGAGACCAGAGGGAGAGAGGGTAGAGATCAGAGAGAGAGAACCCAGAGAGAGAGAGAGAGCAGAGAGAGAGACCAGGTGTTGACAAATATCACATTCAGTCTCTTCCAAACATTCATATTTTGACTCATTCTTGTTTTCATAGTTTATCATGTGATTTTAAATTGATTGACAGGTTTGATAGGAACAAGAGAAAGACCCCCAAGAAACTAAACCCAGTCCTTTCAGCACAGACTCAGGTCGGACCCAGTTATTTCGTTCGTCTAAACATTTTTTTTATTAAAAGATAAACTCTCAAAATATTAAAATCAGATGCAGTTCCCGCCGCGGCCTGTAGGGGGCGGTGGAAACAACAGCAGCAGTCGTCTCTGAAGCATCTCTCCATTGTCAGGATTTAAGGCACGTTTGTATCAGAACACACTGCTACACCTCATTTTACAACCACCACCGCTGCTATGTGCACAAGAGAGACCCGAGAGAGAGAGAGAGAGCGGAGAGAGAGACCAGGGAGAGGGAGAGAGAGAGCGGAGAGAGAGACCAGGGAGAGAGACCAGGGAGAGAGAGAGCGGAGAGAGAGCGGGGAGAGAGAGGGAGAGAGCGGGGAGAGAGCAGGGAGAGAGACAATTATACAACCACAAATGTAGTTGAGTAAAGCACATTTTTTATCATGATTGTAGTTTAACAAAGCTTTAGTGTCATTAAAACAGACATCACCACAGTGTGACATCACCACAGTGTGACATCACCACAGTGTGACATCACAGTCTTAGCCTTAATGCAGAAGAGTGTGATTTGAAAATAAGCTGGAGCCAATGTCCTTATTTGGGCATTGTTCTGGTCTGTTCTTTAACTGGGGCAGACCTGTTGCTAAGACGGTTGCTAAGGCTCCCCCTGAATGAAAGCCTCTGATTGGTCCATCCTTACATGGCTCATATCTGGATTTACAAAGACACTATCAGAATATAAACACCAGGATCACAGAGAACCAGAAACCACGGAAGAAGCCCCAAAATGGCGACTGTTTACTTTTACATGTAGCCATAACCCTTAATCATTCTTGCTAGCATCATTGAGCTAGTGGGTTAGCATCGTCCGTCTGTATACAGTCTATGTTTGCACCCAATTTCAATCCCGTTCTCTCTGGTACGTTCTCCTTTCCTCACTGGTGCGACTCAGCAGCTGGTGGTGGATTTTACACGTGACTTAAAATGAGACGTAATCAAAAAGAGTAAATATACTTTTTAATCGACGAGCAGATTAGAATAGGCTTCACGCAAACGAGCTATAAGTGAAAGCGTCCATAAACTCTCTCTCTCTGCGACAGCACCCACCGCTTCATAGTGTTAGAATCAATCATGGAATCTATGGCAGTGTTTGCAAATCCAGAAAAACGCAACAACAACAAAAAGGGGAGGAGCTTAAAAAAAATCAAGGGGGGGAAAAAAATGGAAAGAATCCTGCGTTTTTGGACGATCAGAGTCACTTTCTCGGAGCTGATGTCAAAAGCAGGATCCGAGGAGAAAACCGGGGAAATGGAGGCGTGTTGTGAAATGCCAGATCTGCGTCCTCCAGACCGGAAGTCGTCCTTTAAAGTCATTCTAGAACTCAGAGGTCGTCCTTTAAAGCGGGTCTAGAACTCAGAGGTCGTCCTTTAAAGCGGGTCTAGAACTCAGAGGTCGTCCTTTAAAGCGGGTCTAGAACTCAGCTGCGTTGAGCCAAAACCAGCGACTTCAAAACCTCCATGTTTTTAGAGTCGTCTTTGATCCTTTCGCCGCTTTTTACCTCTTTCCCGTTGAATTCTTCTTTGACGAAAACCACGGGCTCCTCGTCGTCGTCCTCGTCGTCGTCGTGGCGATCGTCCTCCACGATGATGACGTCGTCGTCCAGGTGCCTCCTCGCGCTCAGGTTTCCCTCCAGGTGCCGCGGGTCCGGTTGGAGCTTGGGGAACCGCGCCCCGTTCAGGTCCTCCTCCAGCTTCACCTGAAACGGCGGGAGCCCGAGCAGAAAGGCCCGGATGCGGCTCGGCGAGCTGAGGTCGGCGGGCTCTTCCTGCGCACCCAGAGCCTCCTGAAGCCTCGGCGGCCGTTTGGCGTCCTGCGCACAGGGCTCCACGCCGACGTCCGTGAGAGAGCGCTTCTGCGGCAGGCGGCGGCTCAGGTTCAGGGGCAGGCTCTGGTTCAGGTTCTGGTCCGGAGGGGGGGTGATGGGGGAGCAGGGGGTGAGGGGGGGGCAGGGTTTGGTGGCGCCCTCGTGGGACAGCGCCTCCGACAGACGGCGGGTGAATGTGTGGAACTGGGTGGAGCCGAGCCGGGTCCGCATGAGCTGCCGGACCTGAACGCTGCAGTCCAGGTCCAGGGGCAGGACCCGCAGAGGGGCCAGACTCTGGTTCAGACCCGAGTTCAGGCTCTGGTTCGGGCCAGAGTTCTCCGCCGTGACCTTGGGCTGCAGGGAGTAGAGGATCTGGGGCGCGGCGGGGTCCTGGCCGGCGTTTGCGTTGGCGTCCGGTCCTCGCTGGGCGCGGTTCCGGAACACGTCGAGGGGACACAGGCCTTTGATGGGACTGAAGCCGGAGACGAAGTGATGAGGGAGAGCGGACAGGAGGAGGCCCGAGGGCGGGGGAGGGGCGCCGGAGGAGGAGGAGGTCGTGCTGGTCGTGACTGAGGTAATAATGTTGGCCGAGGAGGAGTCGGGCCGGTTCTGGTCGTGAGGTTTTGTTTGGAAGGAGAGGAACGGAGCGGAGCGAGGGGAGAGGTCCGGGGTCAGCGGGAGGCTCACCGGGATCAGAGCCGGAGCGATGGGCTGAGGGCGGAGCGGGACCTGAGAGAGAAACCCCCTTTAGATCCATGACAACAAATAACTCTTAAAGATCTCTCTGGTCTCTCCCTCTCTCTGGTCTCTCCCTCTCTCTGGTCTCTCCCTCTCTCTGGTCTCTCCCTCTCTCTGGTCTCTCCCTCTCTCTGGTCTCTCCCTCTCTCTGGTGTCTCCCTCTCTCTGGTGTCTCCCTCTCTCTGGTCTCCCTCTCTCTGGTCTCCCTCTCTCTGGTCTCCCTCTCTCTGGTCTCCCTCTCTCTGGTCTCCCTCTCTCTGGTCTCCCTCTCTCTGGTCTCCCTCTCTCTGGTCTCCCTCTCTCTGGTCTCCCTCTCTCTGGTCTCCCTCTCTCTGGTCTCCCTCTCTCTGGTCTCCCTCTCTCTGGTCTCCCTCTCTCTGGTCTCCCTCTCTCTGGTCTCCCTCTCTCTGGTCTCCCTCTCTCTGGTCTCCCTCTCTCTGGTCTCCCTCTCTCTGGTCTCCCTCTCTCTGGTCTCCCTCTCTGGTCTCCCTCTCTGGTCTCCCTCTCTCTGGTCTCCCTCTCTCTGGTCTCCCCCTCTCTGGTCTCCCTCTCTGGTCTCCCTCTCTGGTCTCCCTCTCTGGTCTCCCTCTCTGGTCTCCCTCTCTCTGGTCTCCCTCTCTCTGGTCTCCCTCTCTCTGGTCTCCCTCTCTCTGGTCTCCCTCTCTGGTCTCCCTCTCATGACTAACTTTATCATACAGAAAGTGTTAACATGTGTCTCACCCTGTGCAGTGGGTGGTGGGAGAGAGGCCTCCCCCTCCCCATGGGCCTGGCCTCCCCCATGGGCCTGGTCTCCATGGTAACAGTCCTGCTCTGTGTCTGGGCGAGCAGCTTGGCCTGAGCGAGGAGCGTGGCTTTGTTCTTCTTCCCTGGAGGACGACCACGACCTCGCTTCACCACCACCGAACCATCAGGGTTCACCAGCTGAGAGGGGGGAGGAGAGGGAGAGGGGGGAGAAAGGGGAGAGAGGGGAGAGAGAGGGGAGAGAGAGGGAGAGGGGGGAGAAAGGGGAGAGAGAGGGGAGAGAGGGAGAGGGGGGTGAGAGAGGGAGAGGGGGGAGAAAGGGGAGAGAGAGGGGAGAGAGGGAGAGGGGGGAGAAAGGGGAGAGAGAGGGGAGAGAGGGAGAGGGGGGAGAGAGAGGGAGAGGGGGGAGAAAGGGGAGAGAGGGGAGAAAGGGGAGAGAGAGAGGGGGGAGAAAGGGGAGAGAGGGGAGAGAGAGGGAGAGAGGGGAGAGAGGGAGAGGGGGGAGAAAGGGGAGAGAGAGGGGAGAGAGGGAGAGGGGGGAGAGAGAGGGAGAGGGGGGAGAAAGGGGAGAGAGGGAGAGGGGGGAGAGAGAGGGGAGAGAGGTTAAAAACAACTCTAGGTGTGTGATTGATGAGGTAAAATGCTGTGGAGAGACCAGAGAGAGAGAGACAGACAGAGAGAGAGAGACCAGTGTGAGACCAGAGAGAGAGAGAGACAGACAGAGTGAGAGACCAGTGTGAGACCAGAGAGAGAGAGACAGACAGAGAGAGAGACAGACAGAGAGAGAGAGACCAGTGTGAGACCAGAGAGAGAGACAGACAGAGAGAGAGAGACCAGTGTGAGACCAGAGAGAGAGAGACCAGTGTGAGACCAGAGAGAGAGAGAGACCAGTGTGAGACCAGAGAGAGAGAGAGACCAGTGTGAGACCAGAGAGAGAGAGAGACCAGTGTGAGACCAGAGAGAGAGAGAGACCAGTGTGAGACCAGAGAGAGAGAGAGACCAGTGTGAGACCAGAGAGAGAGAGAGACCAGTGTGAGACCAGAGAGAGAGAGACCAAGGTGAGACCAGAGAGAGTGAGACCAGAGAGAGACCAGAGAGAGACCAGAGAGAGACCAGTGTGAGACCAGGCCTCCTCGCGGTCTCGGCCTCTCACCGTTGTGGGAGGTGTGGTGGGTTTCTTGTCCTTGGGTTTGGGTCCTGGTTTGCGCCCGGGCCTCCTCCCCCTCAGGCCCTTGGTGCGGGGGAGGAGGAGGGGGAGGTCTGGGACTCGGATCTCGATGCCTCCGGCCCTCAGGTGCTCCTCGTACGGCAGCATCAGGCGTTCGTAGTGACGGCGAGTGCAGGTGGCGGCGCTGGTGCTGCCCGGACACCCGCCCAGCTCGTTATACACGATCTTCCACAGCCGGTCGTTAGTCACCTATGACATCACAGAGAGGGCTGAGTGTGACATCACAGAGAGGGCTGAGTGTGACATCACAGAGAGGGCTGAGTGTGACATCACAGAGAGGGCTGAGTGTGACATCACAGAGAGGGCTGAGTGTGACATCACAGAGAGGGCTGAGTGTGACATCACAGAGAGGGCTGAGTGTGACATCACAGAGAGGGCTGAGTGTGACATCACAGAGAAGGCTGAGTGTGACATCACAGAGAGGGCTGAGTGTGACATCACAGAGAGGGCTGAGTGTGACATTACCACAGTGTGACATCACCACAGTGTGACATCACCACAGTGTGACATCACCACAGTGTGACATCAGAGGCAGATTTGAACATAAACTGGAGAGGATTTCCTTATATGGTCATTTGTGACAACAGCGTTAGCTTCACGTCGTAACTGGGGCGGAGGTGTTGCTAAGACGGTTGCTAAGGCAAGAGACCAGAGAGAGAGACCATATTGAGAGAAACCAGAGAGACCATATTGAGAGAAACCAGAGAGACCAGATTGAGAGGGACCACAACGAGAGGTTGTGGGTTCGAGTCCACCACAAGACTTTCACCATCGACTCCCACTGTCTGCTGTTGTTGTGTCCTTGGGCAAGACACTTAACCCCCATTGCCTAGAATGAGTCTGGTGTGTGTGTGAATGGTTGGTGGTGGTGGAAGGGGCCGATGGCACAGACTGGTTGCCTCGCTTCTGTCAGTGTGCCCCAGGGCAGCTGTGGCTACAGTTTATCACTGCTCTGTTTGGAGCGAGAGGATAATGATGTGAAGAGACTTTGAGAGTCCAAAAAAGCTCTGAATCAAACCAATGGTTTATTATTATTATTATTAATAATAATATTAATAACACTGAGCAGTGTGTTTATATTTTGTCGATGTCACGTCTATTTGGATTTGTGTAAAATCTTTTCTGAATATTAAGTGTTTTTTTTTTTTCTTCCACTGAAACATAGCTGCAGTTCCCACTTCCACCACAGGAGGACGCCATTGTTCTGCAGAATCCACAGGATCAGAGAAAGACTGGGATTTAACCAGAGTCACATTCATGTAACTACAAGAATGAAGTGTGTTCCTGGTTTCTGCAACATCAGCCTCTGACCCTCAACCTCACACTACAGGCGTTACTCTGGCGTTACTCTGGCGTTACTCTGGCGTTACTCTGGCGTTACTCTGGCGTTACTCTGGCGTTACTCTGGCGTTACTCTGGCGTTACTCTGGCGTTACTCTGGCGTTACTCTGAAGTTACTTTTCTCCAATAGAAGTCTTTTATTGGTCCCACTCTGGGGAGAGTTCAGTTTGAAGCCCACAGCGACCTCCTCCTCAGGCAGAGTGGAAAGTGTCTTGCCCAAAGACAAAACGACATCAGTGGAGTCGGTCTCATGGTGGGATTGAACCCACAACCTTGAGGCTCAAAGGCCAAAGCTCTGCAGAGTCTAAATCCTCACCACACAAAAACCTTTATCCTAAAGTTTAAGATAAAGTTAGTTTTTATTTTATTAGTTTTGAGTTTTTGTCACTGCTGTGTTGTCTTTCTCCTGTTCTGAATCTGACGCTGCAACACTGAACTTTCTCTGTCGACCGGAGCCAAACTCTGAGTCAGGTACAAGGAAGTTAGAGATAGAGCTCTAAGGTACCTGTGGTATATAAAGTTAGAGATAGAGCTCTAAAGTACCTTGTGGTATATAAAGTTAGAGATAGAGCTAAGGTACCTATGGTATATAAAGTTAGAGATAGAGCTCTAAGGTACCTGTGGTATATAAAGTTAGAGATAGAGCTCTAAGGTACCTGTGGTATATAAAGTTAGAGATAGAGCTCTAAGGTACCTGTGGTATATAAAGTTAGAGATAGAGCTCTAAGGTACCTGTGGTATATAAAGTTAGAGATAGAGCTCTAAAGTACCTGTGGTATATAAAGTTAGAGATAGAGCTCTAAGGTACCTGTGGTATATAAAGTTAGAGATAGAGCTCTAAGGTACCTGTGGTATATAAAGTTAGAGATAGAGCTCTAAGGTACCTGTGGTATATAAAGTTAGAGATAGAGCTCTAAGGTACCTGTGGTATATAAAGTTAGAGATAGAGCTCTAAAGTACCTTGTGGTATATAAAGTTAGAGATAGAGCTCTAAAGTACCTTGTGGTATATAAAGTTAGAGATAGAGCTCTAAGGTACCTGTGGTATATAAAGTTAGAGATAGAGCTCTAAAGTACCTGTGGTATATAAAGTTAGAGATAGAGCTCTAAAGTACCTTGTGGTATATAAAGTTAGAGATAGAGCTCTAAGGTACCTGTGGTATATAAAGTTAGAGATAGAGCTCTAAAGTACCTTGTGGTATATAAAGTTAGAGATAGAGCTCTAAGGTACCTGTGGTATATAAAGTTAGAGATAGAGCTCTAAAGTACCTGTGGTATATAAAGTTAGAGATAGAGCTCTAAGGTACCTGTGGTATATAAAGTTAGAGATAGAGCTCTAAGGTACCTGTGGTATATAAAGTTAGAGATCGAGCTCTAAAGTACCTGTGGTATATAAAGTTAGAGATAGAGCTCTAAAGTACCTTGTGGTATATAAAGTTAGAGATAAAGCTCTAAGGTACCTGTGGTATATAAAGTTAGAGATAGAGCTCTAAAGTACCTGTGGTATATAAAGTTAGAGATAGAGCTCTAAAGTACCTGTGGTATATAAAGTTAGAGATAGAGCTCTAAAGTACCTTGTGGTATATAAAGTTAGAGATAGAGCTCTAAGGTACCTGTGGTATATAAAGTTAGAGATAGAGCTCTAAGGTACCTGTGGTATATAAAGTTAGAGATAGAGCTCTAAGGTACCTGTGGTATATAAAGTTAGAGATAGAGCTCTAAGGTACCTGTGGTATATAAAGTTAGAGATAGAGCTCTAAGGTACCTGTGGTATATAAAGTTAGAGATAGAGCTCTAAGGTACCTTGTGGTATCCTCCCAGACGCTTCACCACTGAGTACATCCGAAACAGGTCGACTGGAAAACAAAGAAACAACGTCAGTATTTTACAATGTTACAGACGAGAGTCCTGCACATGGTACTGACACATGGTACTGACACATGGTACTGACACACCAGGAGAATACAACACATGGATAGTTGTAAATATAAATATAAATACTGTATAAGTATATAACGTACTCTTCTTGAAGCCCAGGTTGGGGACCTTGTGGATGGGGGCCCCGAGCTGCTCCATGAACGAGAACAACTGATCCAAGAAGAACTGTTCGTCTGGATGTGGGATCCAGGCCCCTTCACAACCCGTCTCCACACTGCCCATCACATTCTCCTGCAGGGGGGGAGAGAGGGAGGGAGAGAGGGAGGGGGAAGGGGAGAGAGGGGGGAGACACATACAGAGTCTTTAAACCAAAAGCAGCCATATAGGGCTAAAAATGTCATTTATATTTAATTCAATAGGAGCCAGAGCAAGTTCTTAGCCAAACTTCACCATGAGCACTTCCCTATTGGACTTCATTGAGCAAGCCTGTTAGCATTGTGCATCTGTATACAGTCTGTGTTTGCATGTAGCATCACACCTGCATGCGGTGGATCCAGGACTCTGATTGGCCGGATGTGGGAGACTCTTTTCCGTCTCGTCCTTTTCTCTTTCGAGGTCGACCTCTGAGGCTCAGGGTGGGACATCCTGCAGGACACAAGGGACTTTAAAAAGGGTCTCTCTCCCTGGTCGGTCTCGCTCCCTGGTCGGTCTCGCTCCCTGGTCGGTCTCGCTCCCTGGTCGGTCTCGCTCCCTGGTCGGTCTCTCTCCCTGGTCGGTCTCGCTCCCTGGTCGGTCTCGCTCCCTGGTCGGTCTCGCTCCCTGGTCGGTCTCTCTCCCTGGTCGGTCTCGCTCCCTGGTCGGTCTCGCTCCCTGGTCGGTCTCGCTCCCTGGTCGGTCTCGCTCCCTGGTCGGTCTCGCTCCCTGGTCGGTCTCGCTCCCTGGTCGGTCTCGCTCCCTGGTCGGTCTCGCTCCCTGGTCGGTCTCTCTCCCTGGTCGGTCTCTCTCCCTGGTCGGTCTCTCTCCCTGGTCGGTCTCGCTCCCTGGTCGGTCTCTCTCCCTGGTCGGTCTCTCTCCCTGGTCGGTCTCTCTCCCTGGTCGGTCTCTCTCCCTGGTCGGTCTCGCTCCCTGGTCGGTCTCTCTCCCTGGTCGGTCTCTCTCCCTGGTCGGTCTCTCTCCCTGGTCGGTCTCTCTCCCTGGTCGGTCTCTCTCCCTGGTCGGTCTCTCTCCCTGGTCGGTCTCTCTCCCTGGTCGGTCTCGCTCCCTGGTCGGTCTCGCTCTCTGGTCTCCCTCCGGTCTCCCCCACATGGTACTTACTGAATTGCCAGGAGAAGTTGTTGTTGGCCTCCATAGTGGGATGGTTGAAGGTGTCTCTGCAGTACATGACTCGTGTGTTGGACAGCGCCACCCGCAGGCCGCCCAGAGCCAGCAACAGTGCGTCCTGCAGGTCCGGAGCAGCGGCTCTATCCTGAGTTCTCCTCTGCAGAGAGCGGAACCTGCAGTACTGAGGGAAGCTGAGCACCTTCACCAACTGCAGCGAGTCTGCAAACAAACAGGAAGTTAAAGCTCGGATTAGACTAGTCCAGGTCCCAGTCCCATCTGAATCAGGCCCCGGCGATCCAAGATGGCGTCCTATTCAAATGAATGGCTTGTGCTCCGTGGCGCATGGGACTTCACGGAGACCGGGAGATTAGCAGAACTCGTCTGGATTTGGGCACCGTCTGGTCCTCCCGGTTCTGCGCAGTGGACGAGCTCCCATGATGCTTTGCCAAGTTTTGTGGCAGTAAAGTGTGGACTTAAAGAAAATCGAAGGATTTAAGAAGAAAAAAAGTTCAGGACGACAAGGAACACTACAATCCCCACAAAATCTGATCTTTATGAAAGCTGTAGGTTCTCTGTCAGGTTCTCGGTCAGGTTCTCGGTCAGGTTCTCGGTCAGGTTCTCGGTCGGGTTCTCGGTCAGGTTCTCGGTCGGGTTCTCGGTCAGGTTCTCGGTCAGGTTCTCTGTCAGGTTCTCTGTCAGGTTCTCTGTCAGGTTCTCTGTCAGGTTCTCTGTCAGGTTCTCTGTCAGGTTATTTACATTGAGTTCTACGGGACTTTTTTCTGGGTAATGTGAAAGGGTAACGCTTTATATTAAGGTGTGCTTGTTAAGTATTAATAAGGTATTAATAGACATTAGCAACATGCTTATAGATTGCTTATATGTACTTATAAACATATTAATAAGCTGCTCATTTCACTATTCTCTAAATGATGTTGTTCTAGTTATATGCTTTTAAGCATTTAATAAGTAATTAGTAAGATACTTATTAAAGGAGGAATATGTTTATAAATATATGAATAAGCTGCTTATTAAACTATTATCGATACCATGTTAATAGGCCACTAACAATAAGCAGCGTATTAATATCTTTATAGGCATATTAATAGGCAATAGTGGTAATAGGCCACTAAAAATATGCGTTAATAAACTGCTTATTACACTATTTTGCAGTACCTTAATCTAAAGCGAGGAGCATTTTTGTTAATGCAGAAAAAAACAACAATGATCTAAGATGTTTTTATTTATTCAAACAGCAACAATTAAAGTCTAAATTAAAAAAAATATCAAAATTAAGTTTGTGCCAAAAGTTTGTTAGTAACTTCAAGGAGCCATGATGCCCCCACTCATGCTCCGACCTGCTCTGTTCATGAATTTGGCTTTGGCAAAACAGTGAATCAGCTGACTTCACGAGCCTGAGAGATTAGCGGACAGGGGTGGGAACCTAAGGGTACCTCACGATATGATACGATACACGATACAAAGCTCACGATAAAGATTACAATAACGATTTTATCACAATACGACGATTATTGATATATTGGTCAGAAATATACAATATGCCAATTTATGGCATAAATAAAAATAAAAATACTCTTTATTTCATGATAAATATAATGGAGATGTGTAATGTAGCCATATATTAAGTATTGATACCAATTTTTTTTTTTTTTCAAAATTGATATTGATACTTGGCAAATGCATATCGATAATCGAATCGCGGGAGAAAGTATCGTCACACCTCTATTAGCGGAACTCGCCTATTTTTGGGCATCGTCTGGTCCTCCCGGTTCTGCGCAGTTGACGAGCTCCCATGATGCTTTGCGCCAAATACGCGTGCGTGGCTGTCATGCACGTGCACATAGGGGCCGCGCTCTGACCAATCAGAGCTGCTGATCAGAGCGAGAGTTAGAGCGGGAGTAAGAGCCAGACGAGTAGAGTTTGTGGCAGTAAAATGTGGATTTAAAGAAAACTGAAGGAATTAAGAAGAAAAAAAGTTCAGGATGACAAGGAACACTAAAATCCCCACAAAATCCGACTTTTATGAAAGCTGCAGGTTCTCTGTCAGCTGAGGTCGAGCTGTTTTAGTTTACATTGAGTTCTATGGGGACAATTTCTTGGTAGCCCACGTGAATTTAGTTTGCAGTACCACGAGAATCTCCCGAGCTACAAGCTAGTAATACCCTATCCAGTTATTATAATAGATCCATGTATACAACGCACCTGTGGCACAACCATGGAACTATAATAATAACTGGATAGTGTTTTCCTAGCTTATAGCTGTCTTATAGCTATAGTCCCACCCATGGGCACAGGGGGCGCTGTGGTACTGCAGACTAAACTCATGAGGGCTACACAGAAAAAGTCCCATAGAACTCAATGTAAATTAAAACAGCTCGACCTCAGCTGACAGAGAACCCACAGCTTTCATAAAGTTCGGATTTTCTGGGGATTTTAGTGTCCCTTGTCATCCTGAACTTTTTTTCTTCTTAAATCCTTCAGGTTTTCTTTAAAGTGGTTCTCACCCCCGCTCCTCGGAGCTTACGTCACTCACATTTCCTGTTCAAATCTTCCTCTAAATGGGCGTAGCCTGGAGGACTAAAGGGGGCGTGAACGAGACTGGGCCGTTTACATTGCTCTGGGCGGGGGGCTGCTGACGTCAGGTCCAACTTCTGTGCCAGTGTTGGCGCCAGATTCAAAATTCAAATGTATTAATACAGGTCGCCAGCAGATGGCGCCTCACAGACGGTTTTAGGCAGAAAGTTTAACTTTCAACTAATTTGCACCAAAGTGACAAAATTATGACCAGGATATGTAGACAACACTATTGGACACTCATTTATACCGTTTATCAGCAAAAAAAAAAAGTGGATTTGAGGGTGAGTTGTCCTAATCCACATTTTACGGCCACAAACTCTACTCGTCTGGCTCCCGCTCTAACTCTCGCTCTGATCAACAGCTCTGATTGGTCAGAGCACGGCCCCTCTGTGCACGCAAGCGTATTTGGCGCAAAGCACATGGGAGCTCGTCCACTGCGCAGAACAGGTCCAGAGGACCAGACGATGCCCAAAAATAGGCGAGTTCCGCTAATCTCTAAATTTTGCAGGTCGGAGCATGAGTGGGGGCATCATGGCTCCTTGAAGTTACTAACAAACTTTTGGCACAAACTTAATTTTGATATTTTTTTTCATTTAGACTGTAATTGTTGCTGTTTGAATAAATAAAAACATCTTAGATCATTGTTTTTTTTTTCTGCATTAACAAAAATGCTCCTCGCTTTAGATTAGGGTACTGCAAAATAGTGTAATAAGCAGTTTATTAACGCATATTGTTAGTGGCCTATTACCACTATTACCTATTAATAAGCAGCGTATTAATATCTTTATAGGCATATTGTTAGTGGCCTATTAACATGGTATCGATAATAGTTTAAAGACCTTATGACGGGTTTCATTTATTTAGAAATACAGTTTTAATACCATTTTATATTAGAAGAGAACTACTAAAGGTTTCAAAATCAGTTGTTGTTTTTTTTGTCTGATCCCCCCAAATCGAAATAACCCCATAGCAACGCCCTTAGAAACGAAAAAACTTCACAGCCCTTGGTGACGTCAGAGTGGGTACGTTTCAACGCTGTAAGTTGTTTACAATTTGGTATTCGTTCTTTTTTCGCGGATATTCAAGATGACAAGGCCGTGTACAGCGAGTCTAAGATAACTACTAGATGGTAGCATTTCATTGTCACCGAGATAGTCCAGTGGTTGTGTCGATGGACTGCCAATCTAGATACTTGGGTTCAAATCCCACCTCGGACACTTTTTCACACTCAAAACGGCAATTTATGTGTAGTGAGCAATTGTCACCTGTAGAGGGCAGTATTGTGTTGGGCATCAGTGGAGAGAAGAGAGAAAAGGCAGTCCTGTGGCATAGATCCATGGTTTTCAATGCATGGGCGTTACCCGCTGTGACGTCACACACAGGTTAGAGCATAGACAACTTAAATTCATGAAAAACATGTTCTTTTTATAAAATATAGGATTTTTTTTGCCGGAATCTCTTTCAAATTGACATTGTCATGCAATTTTGATATCCACTATTTTTTTTTAAAAAACCCGTCATAAGGTCTTTAATAAGCAGCTTATTCATATATTTATAAACATATTCCTCCTTTAATAAGTATCTTACTAATTACTTATTAAATGCTTAAAAGCATATAACTAGAACAACATCATTTAGAGAATAGTGAAATGAGCAGCTTATTAATATGTTTATAAGTACATATAAGCAATCTATAAGCATGATGCTAATGTCTATTAATACCTTATTAATACTTAACAAGCACACCTTAATATAAAGCGTTACCCGTGAAGGTAGTCTGCAGCACCACAGCGCCCCCTGTGTCCATAGGTGGGACAGCTGTAAGCTAGTAATACTCTATCCAGTTATCATAGATCCATGCATCAGTTCCACTCTTCATAGTATTTAACTTTGAGGCAGTTCCACTTCCCACCAGCAGGGGGCAGACAGCAGCAGTGACTCACCTCTGAAGGACACTGCATTAGCCTCAGTATCTACAGCACCACATCCTCGCACACACACACACACATCTGCAGCAACAACAAACTCCTCCACAGACTCAACATTCTTCAAGTTTATTATAATTATAATAATAACAAATGGGTTTAATACAGTTCTTTTCTGGACTGGAGCCACAGCTGCCCTGGGCACACTGACAGAAGAGAGGCAGCCAGAATGTGCCATCGGGACCGAGGAGACGAGGAGGAGAGGGAGACAAGGGGAGAGGAGACTAGGAGACAGGAGACGAGGAGAGGAGACGAGGAGGAGGTTTGGGTTTTGACAAGAAACTCACCTTCAGCCTCTTCCAACGTTAGCCCCGACTCCTCCTTTGACTGTAGCTCCGCCTGCTTTGACTGTAGCTCCGCCTGCTTTGACTGTAGTCCCGCCTCCTTTGACTGTGGCCCCGCCTCCTCAGACTGTAGGCCTGCCTCCTCAGACTGTAGGCCCGCCTCCTCAGACTGTAGGCCCGCCTCCTCAGACTGTAGGCTCACCTCTTCTGCCGTTAACTCCGCCTCTTCAGTCCTTTCCATCTTTTTTTCCACCTCCTCCGTCGTTTGTTCCACCTTTTCCGTCTTTAGTTCCGCCTCTTCCTCCTTTAACTCCGCCTCTTCCTCCTTTAGCTCCGCCCCAGTCATATTTAAATCCACCTCTAATGTCTTTGGACCCGCCTGAGTCGTTAGCTCCTCCTCTCCAGACTGTAGCTGCGCCTCTTCCGTCTTTAGCCCCGCCCCATCAGTCGTTTGCCCCGCCTCTTCAGTCTTTAGCTCCGCCCCTTCCATTTTTAGCTCCGCCTCTTGGGTCACTGGCTCCGCCTCTGCCATATTTAAACCCGCCTCTATCGTCTTTGGCCCTGGCTCTTCAGTCTTGAGCTCCCCCTTTTGCGTCACTAGCTCCGCCCCCGTCATATTTAACCCCGCCTCTATTGTCTTTAGCTCCGCCTTCACCTCCTGATCCGGTTCCGGGGTTTGAGTGTTTGTTTGGGGCTCGGATAGACAGTCTGTTGTGCTCTGGACTCGAGTCTCTGTGGGTTCTGTCCTGGTCCCGGTAGGTCCGCCAGACCCAGGAGACCCCGTAGACCCCATAGACCCAGGAGACCCCGTAGACCCCATAGACCCAGGAGACCCCGTAGATCCAGGAGACCCCGTAGATCCAGGAGACTCCGCAGACCCCGTGTCTCTGTGAACCCCCCGGAGTCGGTCCATGGTCCGGGAACATGGCAGCCTCCACCCGTCCTGCTCCACACACGACCATCGCACCAGGTCCTCCACCTTCACCACCATCTTCCTGGACACGGCCACGACCTCGTCCTGAAGAGAAAGACCAGGAAGACCAGGAAGACTTTACCATTGGGACATCGCACACTCTCCGGTCTCGGCCTCTCGCACACTCTCCGGTCTCGGCCTCTCGCAGACTACTCTGGTCTCGGTCACGGCCGATGGCACCTCACTCTGGTCTCTCTCACTCACTCACTCTGGTCTCTCTCACTCACTCACTCTGGTCTCTCTCACTCACTCACTCTGGTCTCTCTCACTCACTCACTCTGGTCTCTCTCACTCACTCACTCTGGTCTCTCTCACTCACTCACTCTGGTCTCTCTCACTCACTCACTCTGGTCTCTCTCACTCACTCACTCTGGTCTCTCTCACTCACTCACTCTGGTCTCTCTCACTCACTCACTCTGGTCTCACTCACTCACTCTGGTCTCTCACTCACTCACTCTGGTCTCTCTCACTCACTCACTCTGGTCTCTCTCACTCACTCACTCTGGTCTCTCTCACTCACTCACTCTGGTCTCTCTCACTCACTCACTCTGGTCTCTCTCACTCACTCACTCTGGTCTCTCACTCACTCACTCAGGTCTCTCACTCACTCACTCTGGTCTCTCTCACTCACTCACTCTGGTCTCTCTCACTCACTCACTCTGGTCTCTCTCACTCACTCACTCTGGTCTCTCTCACTCACTCACTCTGGTCTCTCTCACTCACTCACTCTGGTCTCACTCACTCACTCACTCAGGTCTCTCACTCACTCACTCACTCTGGTCTCTCACTCACTCACTCTGGTCTCTCACTCACTCACTCTGGTCTCTCACTCACTCACTCTGGTCTCTCTCTCTCACTCACTCTGGTCTCTCTCACTCACCACTCTGGTCTCTCTCACTCACTCACTCTGGTCTCTCTCACTCACTCACTCTGGTCTCTCACTCACTCACTCTGGTCTCTCTCTCTCTCACTCACTCTGGTCTCTCTCTCACTCACTCTGGTCTCTCTCTCTCACTCACTCTGGTCTCTCACTCACTCACTCTGGTCTCTCTCACTCAGGTCTCTCTCACTCACTCACTCTGGTCTCTCACTCACTCACTCTGGTCTCTCACTCACTCACGTCTCTCTCACTCACTCACTCAGGTCTCTCTCACTCACTCACTCTGGTCTCTCTCACTCACTCACTCTGGTCTCTCTCTCACTCACGCTCTCACTCGGTCTCTCACTCACTCTGGTCTCTCACTCACTCTGGTCTCTCTCTCACTCACTCATCGGTCTCTCTCACTCACTCACTCTGGTCTCTCTCACTCACTCACTCTGGTCTCTCTCACTCACTCACTCACTCTGGTCTCTCTCACTCACTCACTCTGGTCTCTCTCACTCACTCACTTGGTCTCTCTCACTCACTCACTCTGGTCTCTCTCACTCACTCACTCTGGTCTCTCTCACTCACTCACTCTGGTCTCTCTCCTCACTCACTCTGGTCTCTCTCACTCACTCACTCTGGTCTCTCTCCTCACTCACTCACTCCTCTGGTCTCTCACTCACTCACTCTGGTCCTCACTCACTCACTCTGGTCTCTCACTCACTCACTCACTCTGTCTCTCTCTCACTCACTCTGGTCTCTCACTCACTCACTCTGGTCTCTCTCACTCACTCACTCTGGTCTCTCTCACTCACTCACTCTGGTCTCTCTCACTCACTCACTCTGGTCTCTCTCACTCACTCACTCTGGTCTCTCTCACTCACTCACTCTGGTCTCTCTCACTCACTCACTCTGGTCTCTCTCACTCACTCACTCTGGTCTCTCTCACTCCTCACTCTTCTCTCTCTCCACTCACTCTGGTCTCTCTCTACTCACTCACTCTGGTCTCTCTCACTCACTCACTCTGGTCTCTCTCACTCACTCACTCTGTCTCTCTCACTCACTCACTCTGGTCTCTCTCACTCACTCACTCTGGTCTCTCTCTCTCACTCACTCTGGTCTCTCTCACTCACTCACTCTGGTCTCTCTCACTCACTCACTCTGGTCTCTCTCACTCACTCACTCTGGTCTCTCTCACTCACTCACTCACTCTGGTCTCTCTCACTCACTCACTCTGGTCTCTCTCACTCACTCACTCTGGTCTCTCTCACTCACTCACTCTGGTCTCTCACTCACTCACTCACTCTGGTCTCTCACTCACTCACTCTGGTCTCTCTCACTCACTCACTCTGGTCTCTCTCACTCACTCACTCTGGTCTCTCTCACTCACTCACTCTGGTCTCTCTCACTCACTCACTCTGGTCTCTCTCTCTCTCTCACTCTCGGTCTCTCTCACTCACTCTCACTCTGGTCTCTCTCACTCACTCAGGTCTCTCCTCATCTCTCGGTCCTCACTCACTCTGGTCTCTCACTCACTCACTCTTCTCTCCACTCACTCACTCTGGTCTCTCACTCACTCACTCTGGTCTCTCTCACTCACTCACTCTGGTCTCTCTCACACTCACTCACTCTGGTCTCTCTCACTCACTCACTCTGGTCTCTCTCTCTCACTCACTCTGGTCTCTCTCACTCACTCACTCTGGTCTCTCACTCACTCACTCCACTCACTCACTCTGGTCTCTCTCACTCACTCACTCTGGTCTCTCCTCACTCACTCACTCTGGTCTCTCACTCACTCTCACTCTGGTCTCTCACTCACTCACTCTGGTCTCTCTCACTCACTCACTCTGGTCTCTCTCACTCACTCACTCTGGTCTCTCTCACTCACTCACTCTGGTCTCTCTCACTCACTCACTCTGGTCTCTCTCACTCACTCACTCTGGTCTCTCTCACTCACTCACTCTGGTCTCTCTCACTCACACTCACTCTGGTCTCTCTCACTCACTCACTCTGGTCTCTCTCACTCACTCACTCTGGTCTCTCTCACTCACTCACTCTGGTCTCTCTCACTCACTCACTCTGGTCTCTCTCACTCACTCACTCTGGTCTCTCTCACTCACTCACTCTGGTCTCTCTCACTCACTCACTCTGGTCTCTCTCACTCACTCTCTCTCTCACTCACTCACTCTGGTCTCTCACTCACTCACTCTGGTCTCTCTACTCACTCTGGTCTCTCTCACTCACTCACTCTGGTCTCTCTCACTCACTCACTCTGGTCTCTCTCACTCACTCACTCTGGTCTCTCTCACTCACTCACTCTGGTCTCTCTCACTCACTCACTCTGGTCTCTCTCACTCACTCACTCTGGTCTCTCTCACTCACTCTGGTCTCTCTCACTCACTCACTCTGGTCTCTCTCTCACTCACTCTGGTCTCTCTCACTCACTCACTCACTCATCTGTCTCTCTCACTCACTCACTCTGGTCTCTCTCACTCACTCACTCTGGTCTCTCTCACTCACTCACTCTGGTCTCTCTCACTCACTCACTCTGGTCTCTCTCACTCACTCACTCTGGTCTCTCTCACTCACTCACTCTGGTCTCTCTCACTCACTCACTCTGGTCTCTCTCACTCACTCACTCTGGTCTCTCTCACTCACTCACTCTGGTCTCTCTCACTCACTCTCTCTGGTCTCTCTCACTCACTCACTCTGGTCTCTCTCACTCACTCACTCAGGTCTCTCTCACTCACTCACTCAGGTCTCTCTCACTCACTCACTCTGGTCTCTCACTCACTCACTCTGGTCTCTCTCACTCACTCACTCTGGTCTCTCTCACTCACTCACTCTGGTCTCTCTCACTCACTCACTCTGGTCTCACTCACTCACTCAGGTCTCACTCACTCACTCAGGTCTCACTCACTCACTCACTCAGGTCTCTCTCACTCACTCACTCAGGTCTCTCTCACTCACTCACTCAGGTCTCTCTCACTCACTCACT